ACTTGTTTACTTGATGGTAAATTGTGTCCAGTTATTTGGTATTTTATATTAATAATTAATGTTTTCTCTTTCTAAAAACACACGTTCCTCGGCAGTGCATATGACACAAACATATGAAATTATGTTTTATTAACGACCTGTAAGCACGCTTGACACAATCGATTTAAAATTCATGTACTATTAGTCTCGGGTGGACTGAGCGGTGAGTAGTAGGGCTGGATATGTCCGTCATGCGAGTTGGCGCTGAAGTCGGCACGGGTTAGAATGCTCCAATCTCAACAAAATTTTGTTTAGGCACGTTTTAAGGCCAGTGAAACAAAATTGGAAGGTGAGCGTTCAAAGATTTCGAAGTCGGAAAATAAGGGACTACTTAATGCGGCGTATTTGGAAAGGCGACTTTGAGCGAATGATTAGGGATGATCAGATCATTGATTATAATAATTTAAATCGACCAATCATTGGCTTCGAGTCGTTCAGAGCCGTCTTATTGAATAAAACAAAGATAGTCAAAGGTATTGTTGTTTTTCGAGCAAATTCACCGGGTGACACCAGAATGGATAATGATCAAAATTACTGTTAACACTTTAATATATCGAGTGAATGAATCGTATGAATATCGAGTTTCTTTTTCTTAATGTCGAAGAACTATTGCCCGGAAGAATAGGCGCCGTCCCGCGCGGCATCAAGGGCTTGTCAAGGGCGAGGGCAATGATATTAGCTCAGTTTCTCGGCCCTGAATAGGAACTCGCGCCCGGGGTTCCCTCACGTGCTGTTCCCTCGGCAGACATCACTCACAATAGGCAGGGCTGCACACACTCTGCAAGTACAACAATTTGCCCCGTGAAAAGTGTAGAATTTTGGTATTTTTTCAGTAACTTCTAGCGCGTGACGGCAACGACTTTTTTTTCACATAGAAATAGTGAATATCTGTTTTTAGAAAAAAATGAGGCCAGATTTTGACCTGAACCTTTTTAAAGGGGGTTTGTAAGTAAATTAAAATATCATTTGCAGTAATTTAAACAAATACAAACATTCTCTCTTGTACTTCACGTGCCTTAACCTTAAGACAGCAATGCACGTAAAACAGGTCAATATTTCAATTGGAAATTCGCTCTCTTACAGTGTAACATAAATGTGAGAACACGTCGAGAAGGTAGTAAAAAAATTAAGCAGGACTTCCAGACAATGAACCTCGACACGTTCCATGTGTTTACTGTGCGACACGTAGCGCACGATTTGAGACTAGGAGTGAGTGCATTTCGGTTGTGTTGCATTGGGAATACAAAGCTTTTCAGAGACCAAAAAGTGAGAAACAGGTGCTTCACAAACCAAATGAGCACAGCCGAGAAATTGCTGAGATCTTACAAATCTCTAAAACCTGTATAAACCATACAATTCGACGAGGAGAGATCTGCGGGCCTAATTCATGTTCCACGTTCCAAGGACGACCGCGGAAGACTTCGCCAAAAGTTGATAAAATGCTTCTGCACGTATGTAAAAAAAAACAGAACTGGTAGCATTCTTGATATTTTAAGTGGAATTTTCTAACGTTTCGAAATATTTTTATTAAGAATATTGTAAATAAATAAATAGGAAATAAACAGACAAACGCAGTAGACAGCACAATACACAGCATCGCCACGTCAAAATAAGGGATCATTGATCGACAAATAAATAATGAAGAAAGCAACGAGGAGGGCAGAGTACCTTTGCGCCGACGGAGCTGGCCACCTCCAGGAGGCGCGTGTTGAACTCGAGCGGGCGGCAGTTGCAGATCTTCTGCTGCAGGCGCAGCGCCTCGAGGCAGCGCGCCGCGCCGTCCATGGCCTCCATCTGGCACAGGCGGTCGCCCATGCCGGCCGCAGACCCCATGGCGCTCTCGTACTGCCGGTACGCCTTCTGCGCACGCCCGGCGGGCACCCCCGGCTCGCTCACCCACCGCGCGGGGGAGCAACGAGGGAACGCATGGGAAGGCAGGACGAGAGGGATGGAAGACCCTTTTCAGGAGAGATTTCGTCCAGCGCGAGGGAAAAAGGTCTACACATAGGGCCCCTTCCCACGGCGCCGCCGCGGCGCGCTTCGCAGCAGCGCGGGCGTAGCAGAGCATTGGTTTGAATGGAGGCCTTCCCACGTGCAGCGGGTGGTGGCTGCTGCGGCAGCCGACGCCGAACTCCAGCTACGCGAAGGGGAGGAGGGGCCACGCGCCACCTCTAGCAGAAAACAGCTTTAAATGGGAGCGTTCCCACTGCGCCGCGGCCGCAGCGTTCTACCTGGCCCGGTCCCTTTGTTCGTCGTCGCCGGAGGGTCGGCGAAACCTACCCCTCCAGACCCCACCCCCTTCCACGGCGGGCGGCGGTGCGGCCGTGGCTCCGGCGGTGGCTGCGTCGGAAGTGCTCTGCTCCTTGAACGAAGCGCGCCGCGGTCGCGCCGTGGGAAGGCGGTTCCGACTCGAACACAGTCAAGTGAATGCGGTTTAATAGAAATATCGGTAGGCGGGGTGTCTATTTATTCAGAATGTGTCTGAATAAATGTAACAAGCTTCTAGGGCATATTCCGGCTCAGGTGACTCAGGCTTAGGGCACCAAGCCACTGTGTCACTGCAGTGCATATGCCGGGAGGTCCTAAAGTTCGCGTACCTACGGTTGCAGAATTTTCGACATTAACTACTACATTGCCAGGTCGAATTCAGTTGCTGTCTAGTGAAGAACTCTAGAGAACGGCTGTTCTGAGAGGTAGTTTTCCGTGGTTTCTCCCATCAACACCTGCACGCCGGAGCAGTACCCTAACAAAAATGGCGCGGATCGCACGCGATCATTCCTTTCTCTTCCTTGTTCTATTCTCTCCTCTTACATGAATTTATATTTACATGAACTACACCACCACATACCGCAAGCAGACATGTAGGTTGGCGCCGAATCTCAACATTCAGTGGGAAAGATTACAGCCACATCTCGCGGAAAACACGTACTACACTTACGGACCTAATGATCTCAATAGTTGACGCTCCAATCAATCAATCATTCTAGGGTTTGTCGGGGTCGATGATAAAAACATTTTGTCTGAGAACACGAAATGTCTTTTATTGGATCAACCGTTTCCTGCCAAACACCAGTGCAAGATCAGTGAGAAGTTTGTAAAATTTATTCCGCGACACACCGTTTGGAGTGGTTGAGAATAAATGCTAAATTGATTGATTGGTTGATTGAAGTTTCCGAGCACGTCAACTGCTGAAGTTATTAGTCTCGTTGGTGTAGTGGTTGTTTTATCCCGAGAGGTGGGATCTTCTTCTTCTTCTTCTTCTTCTTCTTCTTCTTCTTCTTCAGCAGCTAGACGGCGAGATCCAACGCAGACCTACACGTCGACTTCCAGGGAGTTTCCCCCTCTAGGTATCTTCCCACAGTGGGGCACCGCCCCAACCAGGCCAAGTTCTAAGTCCGCGAATGCTCTCCTGACTTGTACGGTAGTGTAGTTTATGTATGTGTCTTGTGTAAGGGATGAGGATAGGACAAGGAAGAGGAAGGAAAGAACGCTTACGATCCATTACTCATTTGTTAGGGTACTGCTTCGGCAGAGAAAAGCCGCAAAACTAAGATCCAGATAGCCGGCCGCTCGAATTCTTCTCCAGGCTGAATTCGATCTAGCAGCAGTCTAGTAGCAATCTAGCTAGTGCTGAAAATCCGCCAGCGTCGGGACTCTAGGGCTCTCGGTCTAGATCTCAGTCAGAGACGGTAATGCTCGCTTTGAGCTAACTCTATCGGTACATTGAAAACTTCAAGGGAAAACAATGGGGTAAAGAATTACATATTTTGTCAAAAAAATCGTGGAATATCGAATTTAACGAAATTTCACGGTGACATCGTTCCCCTGATGATACGCAACTCATCCTGATATTTGTCCCCCACAAATGTGGAGAACTGTAAGTGGCTGAACTCCATTATATGAGATTTTCCGCCACTTGTTCAATGGCAAATGTAATCATCTTCGACCTCTGTACATTCCTTAGAAGTTTGTAACATTTATTCTAAACCATCCTGTAGTCTCTGACGTTCCTCTAACTGTACCATGTTTTCTTCGGCTTTAAAAATCTTACACTCCGAATTGAGATGTGGTGCAGATGTCCAAAATTTATAATTTCTTCAATATACATTGAAGTTGAAAATTATATTTCCTGTGAACATAATTTTTACAGAAGAAAATGAGGGTAGAGAATTTTTTTTACAAGAGTCATTAAAAGGATTTCAGTTAAAAATAAAAATAAAATATTTGAAGAATTGAAATCGCATAGTAACAGCAGCAAGAGAGGCATCAGAAGTTCAGACAGATTACCTATGCCAATGTAATCAAACGTTTCTTCGGTCTACACAATCAGTTTGGAGTATTCTGACATTATAGTGCAAATAAAGACATACAGGTTAAAAATATTCCCTTACAGTAAAATAAAACTCATTTATCTTCTAAAATGGTTAAATATTGGCTCATGTCAGATACTAATTGAAGTTCTGTTATTAGATATTTCTACCTTTGCTGCTTCAAATTCGTTCACAAACCACAAACCATTACAATTACTGGCAAAATCTGTTGTAAAAATCAACTCCTGCGTTTACACAGACACATGTATCTGTTATACCTCTTAATATCAAGTTATTAAATTATTAAAAACAATGGCTGAGAGCACTTTTTGATGTATGAGTATCTTAAATTTTGTATCTAAAAAATAAATTTACATTTCAGTGTACGCATCGCATCATTTTATCTCTCTTTGAAAGTCGATGATAAATGTTTTCTCCGTGGTGAGTAGAGATTTGGTGATTTGTGGAGACTGTACTGTGAATTGGTTGTAACTGTCTAATTATTATATATCTTATTATTATTATTATTATTATTATTATTATTATTATTATTATTATTATTATTATTATTATTGCATGACCCCATTAGATTTAAGAACACATTTTTCTAAAATTTCATTTTATTATCACTTGCTCTAATAAATAAAAATAAAATGAAATTTTAGAAATTACTGTCTTAAAAAATTTGATTATTTAATAATAACAAGACGGTACTATTACTTCTGTAAAGTAATTTTGTTCGAAGAAATGTCATCAGAAGGCATAAAGTTCAACAAAATATGTTAGGTGAGTAGGGAAAAATCATTCCAATTCTCTCTATGAATGCGCACTTTATTTCTAGCTCGAAGATATGGACAACATAATTAATCAGCAAAAATTGGTTTCTCCTGCAATATACCGCATGAGATGCGGCAAAAGTTGGCCATTTTACTTTTTGTAGGTGGAAGTTGGTGAGATATTCATCTGGTGAGATTTCCAACACCTGTTGCAAACCTTCAGAAATTAATAAATAATGTACGCGATTTTATCTAAGTGCTTTGCAATGAAAGCTTCTTGATCAGTCGCAATAATTTCTCACATCCTCTCCACAAAGTTTGGTCTTCTTAACAATTCCCATGAGAAGCACATGCATACAGTATGCTTCGGAGCCTGCTCTTAAACCATTAAATTGAGAGAACCATTTGTGCTCAGTAGTAATAACTTTGACTTTTCTTGCCTGAGCACTCCATATTCTATTGATTCCACTCAAATGGACATATTATGTAGCGATCTCCGTATAGTGTTGTCTCATATATTGTTAGCCTATATTAGACCCACTGCCGCGAATTTTAAAGTTATTTCAATTAATGTGTATTTACGAATAATATAACGACTCTAATGGATGCTGTTATTAAAAATTACTCCAGAAAAATCAATCACGATTTAATTTTTTCAGTCATTAATTGCAAGGGATATCTTTATATATTCATTGCGGCAGCTGGAACGATTGCACCCTGTTTTTATGAACATGAATGGTTACCGGACTTTGCAATACTATTTTCACGGCCATACGCCTATCGGCATCTCTGTGAGTCTTTTTTAAATGGTCATTTTTTTGTACGTGAGGCAATGAATATTAATTCTCGAAACAATTTAATGTTTGGAGAGGAAAAACATTCGTGTAATATACTGTACAAACTTGAGTTTCAGTGTAAAACATTTAATTTTTTTCCTACATGAAAATGAATGTGAATGAATGCATTTTTGAATGGAATGATATTTTTCCTATACAATGAGTAAAATTACTCTAATGACTATAACACTATTAGTGCATTCTGTAAGGAGATATATAAAGGAGATATCATTGTACATCTTAAAGTAACATTTTTTCTCAATCAGGGTCGGGTTCGGTTTTGCCCTCTCGGGCAGTCGTATTCCTGCCCTTGCCCCTTGGGCACTGACACCCGAAATCGTAGATGCGGTCGGCAAACCAGGTAACTCCAGAGCGAAGACATCGCCGACAACTCTAGTGTAAGTGAACGTCACAAGACAGAAGCATTTTTATTCCAAACAGGGTTAATCGTAGTTCAGCTATAAGACAAAAATACACGTAAACATGCAAATATATTTAAAATGCACTTTATGTGGTATTAGTTGCGTTATATAGTATATATATATATTATAATATATATATATATATATATATATATAATATATATGTGTGTGTGTGTATTGAATTTTCATTATGAGTTTGTCTATATTTGGACACCAATTTAATTAATGAGAAATATAGATAATTTCAAATTGTGATAAAAGACTACTTCTGAGGTTTGATTCGATTCTCCTCGAGGAGAAAATCTGTTGTTCAGAAACGATAGTAGATAAATGTATCACCACAAACGTGTCAAACGTTTGTGAGAGAACGTGCTGGAAAACTTTCATACATTCGTTACACAATATAATCCGTTTATAAGCAATTACACCAGTAGTAAATTAATTCTAGTAACAAATCGTTAGGTCAATCTATCAATATCAACTGAGTACGGAATAAAAATTTTTGAAATTCCTTCTCTAATATTATAAAATCTTGAAAGTAACTTTTCTGATTTTAAAGACAACACAGTTAGGAAGCAATAAACTATCATGCAAATATATTAACATCGTACTTGATACCCTTGCACCTTGGGTGAATTTCCCAAATATAATTTCATAGCTTCTCTCTTACCGATGCTAGCTTGTCTTCCGCACTTTGCTCGCGAGCAAATCTGTTGTCTTGTCTGTCCCTGCTCTGAAAGTTCTCCCTCCCAAGCCATTTGGTTGGTTTGGTTTTGAAGTACCGTTTTGATTTGGTATATTATTATTATTATTATTATTATTCAATATTCCTTTATAAATTGTAGACATTCACATTTGAAATTATATTTATTTAATATGGTTAAAACATAATAGTATATAAACATATGTTTTAACCTCGTGAAATAAATATAAATATTCTTGCATAAAGAATATATAATAATAATATGTCAATGAAACTTTGAAACAAGACAATCAGTTAAAATACTTTAATTTTGAAGGTCCAGTTTTAGTGACCAGTTTTAGTAACCTTCCCTTTTCCTTCTCGTCCTTCCTCTTCGCCCGCTAGCTAATCTATTGCGCTTGCCAATTGCGTTCGTGTCCGTCCCTGTTCAGAAAGTTCTCCATCCTGATCCACTGATAGACCGCGTACTAAATGTCCTCGTCCCTTTGACAATGCAACTCATGCATACACATCATGTATTAAGCATTTCCGAAGCTCGAGCTCATAGAAAAAAAAACTTTAATAAACGTGCATGAAAACAAGGAAATAGGGTGAATTCACAATATACATGTTGGCACTTCTTTTTATAGACTATTAGAAGCTCGATAACTGTCCTTTCTTGAAAAGGTATGAGCACTCGTCTCATATACTTTTACGATTGACTCATAAATTTTGAATGTCTGCCGTAGTTTACAAGGGTATAAAATGTAAACACTGATTGTTCCCTAAAGTGATACCATCCAACAAAAGTTGGGTGAAAGTACTATGTGTTTTGCAGAACCTTACTTCGGACAATATACATTTATTTTGAACAAACTGTAATACGCGTTTTCCTCCGTTTCTCTGAAATACCATTAAAAACAGGAACGTCTTTGTAACAGTGACATTATTTCTCCCCGAAAATATGCATTCCATATTATACGGAGAGTATGATATTCGGATAAAAGCTGAGAACAATACGTACGTAACTGAAATGAATTAGTTCGTAAGTACGACTAATTTCAGTTTATATCCGTGAGAGAGATACGGTAGGGAAGAGACAGGACTGCCAGAGAAGAGAAATGAATGAGTTTCTTTACCTTTCGATTCCCATTGAAAGATCTCCCCCATATGGAGTTTATAGAGGTTTCTTTGAACGTCTCCCGCAAAGTTATTTCTTTACTTCATGTTACCTTCATTGTTTTACTATAATTTAACACCTCATTTTATGTGACATGCAGACTCAATCAATTCGTATCGTTTTTTCTTTTTTAACCAATAAGGAAATAAACGCTGATAAATGAAGTTTTATAAAAGACAAAACAACGTTCATGTGAAAATTGCTTAAATTATTGCCACATTTTATTAATATTATTTTGAAATTAAATAACTTGATTTCTTTAATCGTTCGATTTTTAATATTAATCATAAAAAATGTATTTCTTTAAATGCTTAACGAAAACGTTTAGAAAAAAAATCCATTGACATTTTTTCTCACTTTAATTTAAAGTAGAACATTATTATCATTGAGACGTGGTTTCCATTTAAAGCCACTAAAATGTATTGAATTATAAATACAAATATCGATTAACTACTACTGAAGCGATGAAAACAGATGATCGTAGAATTTGAATAGCCTTCAATTACAAAAATGGGAAATAAATCACCCGGTTGAAATCAAAGTAGAAGGGGGAGGGGTTAAAGTTAGACATCTTAGTATGAACATTGGCTGTTCTGCGCACGTTATAGCACTTACATTGATGTCGGACTTCTTGCGGTAGATGTCGCCCATGATCCGAATGCTGCGTGCGTACGCCGCCTGATCACCTGACACAATCGACAAGCGCGTGGCCTCCTGCAAATTAAATGAATTGCATATGGACAAAATGTTAAGGTATGCATTTAAGACAATATGTATATGGTCAAGATAGAAACGTTAAATACTAATAGTGGGGAAAGTTCAAGATATTTCCGAAGGCGCAGAGGGGTGCCGATAATGTTTGTGGAGCTATGCCTTATCACTATCCGCAAGGCCGCAATATTGAAAAAAAGGCCGTGAGTTACATTGCGCAGAGATTTCAAGATCTGCAAGTATCAGAAACTCGTTGATTAGCAGACTACCCAGACATATCTTGGGAATTGTCTTTTTTTAATTAGATAATGGCGATTATTCATGACTCTGTAATAACATTTATTCTATTCGTAGCCATCGAATAAGAGGTGTAGACGTTGATAATGGCAATAAACGTCATTTGAATGGGTGAAAACAAGAGCGGTATAAGGGACATTTTATAAAAATTCTGAAAAAAAGTTTGTATTTTAGGCTATATTTCAGTGGCAATGTATTTTCTTGGTTTAAAGAACAATTGAAGTGCCCTTGTTGTATGATGAAAGAAAGCACCACAACTTTGCAGTAAATTTGACTTAAAAAACGGATTTCTCTAAATTTATGGTGTCCCTTATACTGTTTTGGTTTTCACCCATCCATTTGTATTTCATTGAATACATAGTATCTACACATACAGAAGTTCATTACGTAATGTAAACCTTATATACGTAGAGTGAGAGGACGAGAGAGGAAGAGAGAGAGAGAGAAAGAGAGAGAGAGAAAGAGAGAGAGAGAAAGAGATAGAGAGAAAGAGAGAGAGATAGAGAGAAAGAGAGAGAGAAAGAGAGAGAAAGAGAGAGAAAGAGAGAGAGAAAGAGAGAGAGAAAAGAGAGAAAGAGAGGAAGAGAGGGAGAGAGAGGAGGAGCTGGAGACGAAACGAGAGGGCAGAGAGCGGAGAGAGTGGGAGAGAGAGAGAGAGAGGAGAGATGAGAAGAGGGAGCAGAGAGGGAGATAGGCGGAAAGAGAGGGAGAGAGTGGAGAGAGGGGAGATGGGGGAAGAGAGGGAGAGAGAGGTGAGAGAGAGGAGATAGGGAAAGAGAGGGAGAGAGGAGAGAGAGGGAGAAGAGAGGAGAGAGAGGGAGAGAAGAGAGAGAGGAGAGAGAGGAGAAAGACTGAGAAGACTGAGAGGACGGAGAGAGAGGGAGATATGTTTTAATCAGATCCACAATCCATTATAAAACTCAAACGCATATTACTGACGTTGCGAGATTATGGATAGGAAGATCCAGAGGAAACTCCGAATTCTCATTGGGACAAGAAGCAAGATAGTATCTGCCTTTGAGATGAATGTCAGAAAGCCAATAAAATACGTGGAAACATGAATTCACATAATAAAATGCTTATTTTACAATATTTACAATATTATTAGAGCAGATAAAAATTCACAATGAAATTAATGATACATTAGCTTTCAATAATAAATTTCATTGGAAAATATTCAACAAAACTATCATATCTAGGGTGAATGTCCTTTTACAGGGACATGTTCTTTGGTCTCCATAAAGTCTTTGCCTTGAACGAAATGAATCGACAGGTACAAATTAATAAGCCGACTATACAACTCTATTTCCCCCCAGATTGTTACTATCTTATGGTTTTTACATTCTTCCATTACATACGAATAGACTTTGCACTTAGATTTAATCAAAGACCCGAATTTTAAGACATATTACTAATCGTACCAGCGCTATCTGTACCCCTACAAATCCTTGCCAGGTAATTGCGCTCAGGTTCGTGTGGAGGAGCCATGCCGTGCCTGGTGTCGCCAGTTCCCACTGTGTTACCGGAGGGAGGCACTGTATCGAGGCAGCGTTGCACTATTCTCTAGCCAAACTTCCTAATATACCATCTCATACGGGCCAGTAATGAAGGTATTACGAAAGAGTGCATGCGTGGTGAGTGGGACGGCTTACAACTTCAACAACACATGGAGAACTACCATGTCTAGCGCGACTCGACACACAACTACTCGAACTGACCTCGCTTTTAAAACTTCTGCTTAAGCCCGTTTTACCCAGTGTCAAATTTATCATCACTTTCATCGCTATAGAACCCGAGAGTGATATACTCATACTCATTTTTCGTGCAGGTTCATTCAGTCTTGACTAACACTCTCCATGGCGTCACTTTCTGAACATATTTTCGATTGACATATGTATATTTTACAAATTGTTCCTTTTGTGATTTGAGAGTTTTCTAATACTGTCCCTTCGAGTCAAGTGCTTAAATTTTTACCACAGGAATACTGTGTTCAACTATTTGATATATGAGCCCTTTTGCGGCGTCCAGAAGGAATTATTTCATCGAGATTGCATTATAAAAGAACGAAGATTATCGTGAAAACGCTGGATCTCATTCATCCATTTTTGGGCTACCAAAACAGATCGCGTAGAGAACAAAAGTCCATTCGATTCATTTTCGTAAGAGAAAACGATTTAAAAAAATGACCCTTAGCCCGTTTTCTTGTAATGTTTTCATCATTTTTCAGTACTATAGAAAATACGAAAGCAGTAGAATCGTAAAAATGATGACTTTTCATTTTTTTCGATTCAATTTAAACAAATTGACTAAGCGCCCCTGGCCGTCACTTTCGGAATTTTCCTGAATGAAACCGATGATAATGAGCGTGTACAACGGGCTTTACGACCTCGACAGCGGGCGCTCAAATCGATATTGCTGTGTGATGTGTGTGTGGTCGTGTTGTGTGTGTGTGTGTGTGTGTGATATGTATGTATTGTATACCTGTGCCATAGAGTATACAGGCTGTCTATAATATAATATTATATAATATATATATATTATATATATTTATATAGTATACATACATACTGGTGTATGCTCGAAAGGAGTGTATTTAAATTGTTTTGAATTATAAGTGTTCATATCTTGTAAAACTGGTAGGTTTATGGCTACCACCTGGCAATCAGCCAATTGTTAGCCAAATAAATATTTATTATTATTTTATATATTATATTATATTAGTATTATTATTATTAATCCCTGCGGGAGAGCCACCAGCGTAAGCTCACCGTGCAGTAGTCCTGGGCGTCGCCGAGCTCGCCCTGCTTGCGCAGCGCCGACGCCATCTGAAGCAGCGCGGCGCGGTGGTGGCGCGAGTTGAGGTCGCCCAGCTGCAGCGAGCGCGACAGGTCGTACGCCTTGGCCGCGTAGCGCGCGCTCTTGTCCGCGTCCTGCAGCCGCCCGAACAGCTCGCTCAGCCCCACGTACACCTGCCAGCAGCGAGGCACTCCGTCAGCTCTTAAGCCGTAGGTCAAATGATTAGCTATGTTAAAAATATAAAGAGAAAGGAAGGGATTTACCACTTTTCATTCCAATCAAGGAGAACATACATTATATAAAACATACATTATATAAAAAGGCTTTTACACTTGATTTCGTAAAATTGCTTGCAAACGATGCATATATATACTAATTTAGCCTAATTGTGTATTTTATTACTTGTATACAGGTGTTTTGAATAACAATGACAGTTATTTGATAAATTAAAAGATGAAAACGGAAGTTGTCCGAAAATGTCTATAGTTTCTTTTTTAATAAAATGATTACGAAGTGTACAGTATTCTATATGAAATCTTACTTATAGATATGAAACAAGGTAATAGTGAAGTGCGTTTAATAAAATATATGTTTCCAGACCAAAAACAATCCTTAAGTAGGGTTATCTGCATTACAGATGAAACAGTTCATAAGAAACTAACTCATAAATGACAAACGAAAAAAAACTGAAAGAGATGGATCAAGAAAAGAAAAAAAATGACTGCAGCAGAGAACTACTGAATAAAAATGTGTAAAACAGACGTAATTTACGTGATCGTTGTCATACACTGTTAATAAATGGAGGTACAGGTTAAGTCTCTTGCCTCCTTGACTTCTTTTTATAAAAAAATTACACAAATTTTCAACATATTCATCCTTGACTCCAACCCACTTTTTACATCTGTATATTAACATTTCTAGCCCTTTGAAAAAATAGTCCAAATTTTCGTTTGCGAAATGATCAAAAGTTCTTTCTTTTACCTTACACTCGTCTAAAACGTTTCTTCCCTGAAAGTTTTTCTTCGATAGGTGCCCAACCTGAATTGCAGTGAGAATGGCCCAACTCCTTGAAGCTATAGTTCGGACAGTATAGTCAGTCGTATAGCCTGGTGGAACACTTACGGAAACTATATCATACCTTAACTTATTGACTGTGTATGTGTGTGTCAACAATCACAGTTCCTATATTTGACACAATTCCATTCAGTTGTTCTCTGCTGAATTCATTTTTTCGACTTCTCTCGATTAGTCTCTTTCTGTTTTTCGTTTTTTATTTATGAGTTTGTTTGTTATGAGCTGTTTCACTTGTAATGCAGATAACCCTACTTACGAATTTTGTTTGAAACATACATATTCATTCAACACATTTAACTATTGCTTTGTTTCATATCTATCAGCAAGATTTGATATAGAATATTGTACTCTTAGTGATATTTCTATTAAGAAAGAAATGATTCACATTTTTGGACAGCTTCAGTTTTAACTTCCGAAACTACCAAATCTATGGAACCACCTATGTAGAAAATGAATGCGTCAGAAAAGACGCTTTCTTTTGAGCCTGAACGTCTCGAGCGGCGCTACCTGCAGCTCGAGCGCGGGGTCCTGGATGCCCTGCGCGATCTTGTGCGCCTGCTGGAAGGCCTCGAGCGCCTTGCAGAAGGCGGCCAGCTCCAGGTAGACGGAGCCGACGGTGAGGTGCACCTGGCCGGCCGTCTGGCACTGGTCGCACTCGTTGTAGAGCGAGTGGCGGCCGTAGGCCAGCGCCCGCTCCAGCCCGCCCAGGCGCTGGTGGGCGCGCGCCAGGCTCAGGTACGCCTCCGCGCGCAGGTTGGGCGAGTCCGCCTCCTCCGCCAGGCTCAGCTGCCGGTGCGCGAACTCCAGGCTCTCCCTGCGCACGCGCACAAGCGAGCACGCGATCAAAAGAGTTCCCGGAGGGGAGCCAAGTGAACGTCCGTAGTGACGTTCCGAAACGAACGTTTCCGTTCATGGGGCTGGTCAGACAAATGAAAAGGAGATAGATGGAGAACTAGTGGTGTTAAAACAGCACGTGCTTTGTCTACTGTACTTTCATGCAAAATTACGCGAAAAGTACTCAAATTTTTGAAAATTTGTTGATGATTTTATTTCAAAATCAATCTTTACAGAACAGATTTCATTAAAGAAAAAATCTTGATAATTGTAATTGTAGGAAGACGACGAAAAAGTTTTGAAATTTTTGTAACTTTCGAAAAATTAGAGTTTTCAACGAAAATGAGACCCACACCATTCTCGTAAACGTTCTTCTCACTATCCAACAAGAAAATTTATTAGACACTATGGAGCCATTGTTTTTGAAATTTTTGAAAATTTCTCATGGGATTAATGTAAATTACTACCAAAATTAAAATATCGGTTTGAAATTCAAGAGGCCGTGTCATCAGCTAGATCGACAGAGTAATATCAATTTTGGAGAAAATCGGTTGAACGGTTTTGTTGCCAACGTTGTTCACAGCGTTGTTCAACTTTTCGATACCAAGGACCCACAAAACCTGGATTCTGACGACAACACATGTTAGAGGATTTGTTTTAAATTTAGCATCCGGATTTATCAATTTTTTCGTTACCAGCGCCCTGTAATAAGATTTTTTCTGCCAACGGTTCGCCGTTTTTTCGCAAGCATTACATAACTTGCTCTCTACTGCATAAGTGGTAGCGAGAAAGTAAAACGTAAGTAGGTTGTTTATTATTTCAAAAGTAATCTCCATAATAATTTATAAGGTTATCCCAATGTGAGACAAAATGGTCTATGCCTTAACATGTTTGCAGTTCTCTACGGAACGATGATTGTACCCAGATGTACACTTGTTCGTCTGAAGCAAATCTACGGTCATAAATATCTTCACGATTCCAAATCGCTTGAAAATCACATGGGATAGATTTGGATTGTATGAGTAATGTGGGAGCCTTCCAGCGGAATTGTTGCAGTTGAAACAACCTTGGCAGCTTGTGGATGGGCATTATCATACAACTGAATGATGTCGTCTGTCAACATTCTAGGGCGTTTGGAGTTGATAGCGCGCTTCAACTTATGCAAAGTTTCCACAATGTTCATCACATTCAACAGACATTTTGGCACGAATTCCACCTTCTGACACTTCTTACGAGGTCAAAAACTCACTACATCTTTCTGATCCTCTTTCCCGGCCTCCGTAGTAAAGTCGGGCGCCCACAGACTCGCTGAACTCACTAGAATCAGTGTTATTAAGTCATACGTAAATAAATAACTAAATTAATAAAGAAATAAGTCGATAATTAAATAATTAAGTGAACACAGAGTATGCGCAAAATCGAGAAACGGGCTACCTTCTGCGTCGCTGTTTCATTTCAGGTGCTGAGGAGAGCAAAGTCTGAAAGAAGACGTCTACGCCAGGTAATAAGTTGTTTACGAAGAGTTTGTTAGATTCGCAGGTCATTTGACCACAGGTTTATCCCCTTTCAGGTTATCCAATTCAGGAATTTTTATTTCAGAAACAGGAGTATGATTGGTCACTAATTTACAGTTACTTGTAACTTCGTGCCACTACTGATTTTAATTAAAGCTAATATACACATGTAAAGTGGTAATTCCATTGATCTGGTAAATAAAAAAAAATGTTTTTCATTAGTCCTCTTATCCCTTCTACTATATGGTCTCTTTCACACGGCTTTGAGTAAATAATGGAAATTCAAAGGTTAGAATACTTTATTATAGTTTTGTAAACATGTAAAGATAAGATATATACCTAACCGAATATATTGGTAAATTAATTTATATCTATGTAATTATTACCTATCAAATAAAAACAATACCTCTTGACTAACTTAACACAATTGCAAAAGAAAACACACACGATAAATGTTTTGTTTTTCATTGCCATGAACAAAATGAAAATGTTTACCGAATGACCCAAAGTGCAGTTCAATACGTTAAAAGGTACGAAAAATATTTGGGATAATAATAGTTATTGAATCTTGTCTCAATGAAGACATATCTGCTAGGGATGACGTCGGGTGTCTGAAATGTTTATGTATCTTTGCACAATGCGAAATGTTGCATCCTAAAACTCCACAGTACGATCTTGTCATTCCCTTGTTAGTCGTAAATAAAATATTGAACCTCAGAACCAGCGAAAAGAACGAAAAGACTATGAAAGTAATAAAAGTCTGCCTCAAGGATTGCCAAGAATGTAGTTATTTTCATCTGGTAATTTACGACTGTAATGTAGCTTAATGAAAAAACCTTGTCAGGCGAAGACAAAGATGACAATAATCGGGCGCGTTTGTAATAAAAAGGGTGCTTGAGAATTCGCGTCGCTGCGATAGTGATATTCTTCTGAAATTTACGATTAAGTAAATAAATCCTTGGATTTTTGAAGGAAAATTGCACAATTCAATTTAACATCACTGAGCGTGACTAACTATCCAAACTATTGTTTTCTTTCCCGCGACTGCTAATTCATCGACTGCTAATAGTACTTTGGAATCGAGATACTTTTACCTAGTTTCTAGTAGATTCATACAATAAATTTGTTGAGAGAAAGAAAACTCGCGTTCGCGAGGATAACGAAAATACTATATTTACGTGATTAAGAGAAACACTGAAAGCTAGTTATGACCTATGGTAACGTGTGTTGCAATGTCGTCTGCGGGTTGCATGTTTGTCTGCCTTTTTCTTTGTATCATTTTCTGAACCATAGTATCATTTATTAATAATAATTTTTATCAATTTTTTCTTCTCAAATCTGTTTATCGCACTCCTGGAGTACTAATCCCTATTCGGCACTAGTACACGTACATTTTTTGCGTCAAGGGTGTCTGATAAATTGTAAAAAAAGAACGCTCTCATTCCTTGGTGTATTGTGAACACAAACAGATTTATGGGTCTACATGCATGAAGTATAAAGAAGAGTTGGTATGCTTTCTGATATTGTGAATAATTTTTGAATAGACTATATTTTTATGTTGCTAGACTTTTGAAATAGTTTTTGATTTTCTACACCAAATATTTACAAAATATAAATATTAATTGAGAACTTTCGACACGTGTCAATTATATTTTTCAATTTTAAGTAAAATGCGATTCTTCGAAAAAATAAGACAAAGAAAGGTAAAATTATTATTGATCCAGATTACCTGTAAACAATTAAAATACAAAAATTCTGGGTGCACCATGGATTACACATCATGGATCGCAATTACAGCCATGAAGAATAAAATAAATTTATGCTACTACAAAAATGACAAATGGAACACAAGGAAAGTTTTTTTTATAGAAGAGAGTGAAATATTTTTATGGCGTAGATAAAGTAAAGTATCTTCCCTATCGCGTGTAACACTTTATTTAATTAAAATTGTTAGCTTTTACAAAATAAAAATACGTGAAGTTACGTCAGGATAAATGATTTGCTGTGTCGCCGCCGGGAGCGTTACTGCCCGGAGTGCTCTGGAAAGAGGATACTTGATTGATTGATTACTGTACCCAGCAGCGTCAACGGCTAATAAAGTCATTAGTCCCGTAACCGCAATGTCTGTTTTTTTACCACTGCAGGTGACGGTAATCTTTCCCAGATGTATGGCGTGATCCAGCGCCGACGTACACGCCTGTTAGCGGGGTATTCCCAACCAGGTATCTCCCACAAGCAGGGTAACGGCCCAGCCGGGATAAGCTCTAAGCTCCCTACCCGTCTCCTGACAAGTATGACAGTGTAATATAGTATGCGAGTGTGAGAAAGAGGTATGTAAGAAAGGGACGAGAATTTTTCAAGAAAGAAGAAGGAATGATCGCACACGTTCTGTGACCCATTTGTTAGGGAACTGCGGATATTTAGAGGTTTTAATAAATTCCAAAAGGAAATTTCATATATATTATGATACCATGATCACCCTTGTTACACAACAGTAATTAATGAATAACAAATACAAATGCGAAATGAAATGTTGTACATAAAAGTTAAATGTAGATCGAGTAAGTTGATTTAATCCATTTAAAATAATTTCGTTACAGCCCTGATAAACATTCGCATGGAATGGAAAGCTGAAAACCGACATTTTTAGGTAGGTTGTAAGAAATTGGAAATCTGAAAGCCTAATTTCGGTCCTCATGCTTTTCAAGAAGAAAATTTTACAAATTAGTGACTCCACTCCATATTAAAAACACGGCAGCACGTTGGATAGCCATACGGAATATCAATGAAGTGCGCAAAAACTTCGTTAATACCATTCCAACCCGTTCGAAAATTCTGTTTTAATTATATTTTAAATTACATTCTAAAATTTGGTTATATAAATGAACTCTAATATTAACTCAATGATGATTTTTTCACCTTAAATGAACAACATATACTCAAATGGCACGATATGACTCCGCTCGCAAATATCACATAATTACTGTTATAATCTCATTATAATTTGCGTTCTATGGCCGAGTTTGTGTTAATTACGAGAGTGTAAAACATTACATTTTCCACAAATTTTATGAGTACGTATGATTTAGTGCAGGGAACGGAGACTTATGTAGTTTACTTTGGAAACATGTGCTCGTTGAAAGATGTCGTTAAAGATTTGACTTTTATTTACTTGCTTTAGTGGTTAATTCTATTAAATCTTTTAGACATTTGCATCTATTACTAATTACTAAGTCAACCAATTTTTTAATCGCAGTCTTCATGAACCAGCAATGTTTTCAGAATATGAACAACAGAAAAACTTTTCGTCACCTATTTAAAAATGATGTCCAACTTCGGCAACAAAATTCCGACGACTGATATCGTAGAACAAAGATAAGCTGACCACGGAGTCATGGCAAAACGGATTCCGCAAATACAAATAAATCTCCTCACAGCTATGGAGACGCTTCAGTACTTAAAGCCA